AACTAATATATACTTTTTTTATTTTTATTTCAGAGTACCAACCGGATGTCTACCCCACTGACCAAGCAAGGAACAGATGCAAGAACACCAAAAGATATTAGTATTTTTTTTTACTTGAAGTGCCCCCATCCTCTGTGTTGTTCAATATGAAACTAATATATACTTTTTATTTTTCTTTCAGAGTACCAGGCGGATGTCTACCCAACGGACCAAGCCAGAACAGATGCAAGAACACCAAAAGATAAGAATTTTTTTAAAGTTGAAGTGCCCCATTCATCTGTGTTGTTCAATATGAAACTAATATATATTTTTTATTTTTCCATCAGGATGTCTACATCAGGGACCAAGCAAGGCACAGATGCAAGAACACCAAAAGATAAGTATTTTTTTTTACTTGAAGTGCCCCCATCATCTGTGTTCTCAATATGAAACTGATATATACTTTTTGTTTTTTCTTTCAGAGTACCACCCGGATGTCTATCCCACGAACCGAGCCAGGCACAGATGCAAGAACACATAAAGATAAGTATATTTTTACTTGAAATGCCCCCATCATCTGTGTTGTCAATATGAAACTAATTTATACTTTTTTTTTTCTTTCAGAGTACCACTGGATGTCTACGTTACAGACCAAGACAGGCACAGATGCAAGAACACATAAAGATAAGTATATTTTTACTTGAAGTGACCCAACAGCATTGTTATCAATATGAAACTAATTTATACTTTTTTTTTTTTTCAGAGTACCCCAGGATGTCTACGTCACAATCCAAGCCAGGCGCAGATGCAAGAACATATAAAGATAAGTATATTTTTACTTGATGTGACCCAACAGCTGTGTTGTCATTATGAAACTAATTTATACTTTTTGTTTTTCTACCAGAGTACCCCAGATATACCTGGTTCGTCCGTCGCTCCCGCTTCAGGTTAAAGTTTTTTGTCAAGGTAGTTTTTTATGAAGTTGAAGTCCAATCAACTTGAAACTTAGTACACATGTTCCCTATGATATTTATGCCAAATTACAGTTTTGACCCAAATTTCACGTTCCTCTGAACATAGAAAATGATAGTGCGAGTGGGGCATCCTAGTACTATGGACACATTCTTGTTTATTGTAATTCATTGACATTGTGAAATAAAGAATAAAACGGTGTTTTTTGTAAGTTTTCATAATTTACCATAGAATTGCATTTTGCATTATGAGCAGTCTACCGATTGACATACTGATATTACTTAAAAATCCATGTGAAAGAGTTCTTGTTTATTTCGAGTGGTATTTTAATCTTTAGTTACTTTTATGATCGTTTCAGACGTTGATATAACAATGAAAAGTCAACTGATCTTTGGCTAGTTGCCAAATGTCAATAATAACTCAGTTTTTTTCTGAAATTCGATTATTTTTTTCTTTTTCTCATCAGAACATTTGGTACGTTGAATATTGCTGAAATCTGCCTAAACTATCAATATCTATCTGGAATTAATTGAAAACCAGAGCTGTTGAATAATGTCTGACCATCTGACATAGCTATCAAGTGGGGTTAACAATTTCGATGTAATACATGTAGGTCAGATAAACAAAAATTAATCTGAAACGAACAGTGCCAAAGTTGATATCCGGGAATCAGTGTAAAATTTGAAGGTCTTCAATAACTAGTGACAAGAAGTGACAAGAAGAATAATTTAACAACAAGAAGAATAGTTAAGCGACAAGAAAGCAAATTTAGCGACAAGAAAAACATGGGACGTATTATGGTATACCGTTGACCGTCTGTCAACATGTCGGACATTAATTCAAAAACGCTTTAACCAATATGCATGAAACTTTGGTGAATTGTTTATATCTATTGACATGAGCTCCCTTTTAGATTTACCATTTCCGAGTTTTGGGGATTTATTTTAATATAGTCGCTTCTTGACCTTTCCTGACAATTTTTGTCGCTAATTAGTGAGACCGAAAATTCGATACAATTGAATTTTTTATTTACTGTTTATTTCATGTGCTCTACATTTATTATTTGTAAATATCGTTGTAAACAGATCTTATGGTCCGGGGACGCAGTTATCATCCTTTGATTTTCTTTGTGTACAAATAGAGTCCCAGAGAGTGGACAGTGTATAACTTGCAAATTTTTTTCATACACCTTCCAAATTTATTTCTATATATTTTATGCATAAAATATTAGTAAGTAGGGGATGAAATTACATGTAAAAAAATTTGGGGCATGAATTTTTAGGTAAAGTAGTCCAGTTTGAAAAGGTCAAAAATTAGTATGTCTGAAGCTGTCAAACTGAATTACAGACCCCTTAATTAGCATAAAAAAATCCATATTTTGAGTTAGAACCAATAGACTTTTCTATAATTTTGATATAATTTGTCCCAAAAGTAGTACACTACACTGTAAAAATCTTTTTTGGATAGAGCAGGTGCGATTTTTTTTTATTTGTGTTTTTCGTCTAAATGAAATGCACTACGAAATAACTTTTCTCGGTCCTTATTAATTAAAATTATTATCCATAGTGATCTAAAATGGTGAATCTAAATAAAGATGATAAAAATAAATTTGGAATACTGTTTTAAAGTGACGTCTCTTTTGGAAACTGATATTTCAAAGGCAGAAGTGGTGAGACTTAAAAGAGAAATGCTTGTTTGCTCATGGCACTATAATGTTTGATTTTTAAAATAATTGTTTTATATAAAGGGCCATTATGTTACATCCTATATTTGTAGCACTGTCATGACTTTTAAAGAACCACCCTATCCTATTCTGACAATTTAAAGAGAGAGACTGATCGACAATTAAGGATCATAATCAGCACTAAATAGTAGCTACATTATATATAATCACTATCAAAAAAACTTTACTTGTCAGCAAAATGTAAAATATAATGAAAATAAGAAGAATTTGACCTTACCTGACTTCACATTTGTTTTTCCACTGCTTCCTATATCCGGTGGTGATGATACACAGTGGTCATATAATGCACTACATTTCCTCTTAATGTTTTAATAGCCAAATACTATGAGTGCTTGGATTTCCTTTATTTTGTTGAAAAGACCTCTTTATCTCTTTGGCCTTTTCTAATGGGAGATTACTCAAAATATTTTTTTACTCTTGTGTAAATCTTTAATATTTTATAATTTCCATAATTTTCCAGTATTAATAAACACAAGAACAAATTTGTGCATTCCTTCATTTAGACATTTGTTCCATTCTTATTGACATGAGCCTTGTACAAAGTGTTTAAAAATAGTGAAGGTAAAAATAATAGTTATGAATAAACTATATATTTGATATCCCATCCATTATTCCAGTTTCACTTTCATTTTAAAATATTTTCCTAATTTTATTAACTTTTTAGAATATTTTTTTCACTGTATCACTAGATTTTTTTCTATATCCACAGTATAATTCTGTTTACTTTCCCATGATATATATCCCAATTAAACATTTCATGTGCTGAGTCTTTATAATTTGTGATTTTTGATAATTTCCAATATCACATTCAAAATAGTTATCCTCACTTTACACTTTTTTTGGAATATTTTTTTTTTTATTTTGCACTATATCACTTGATTTTACTAGATCCACAGTATTCAGTTTTTATTGCATTTTCCATGAAAGTATGTCCCAATTAAACAATATATAAGATCCAGAATCTTATAATGATTATTTCCAATATCACATTCAAAATTGTTATTCTCACATTCAAAATTGTTATTCTCACATTATGAATTTTTTAGAATATTTTACTTTTATTTTTCACTTTATCACTAGATTCGACTATATCCACTGTATTCACATTTTACTTCATTTTCTAATATATATCGCATTTAAACAGGTGAATCATCTTCATATTAGATCCAGAATTTTTTAATGATTATTTTCAAAATCACATTTAAAAGCCACAGAAACATGTTGGATAAACTTATTTCTTCTACTTGCATTCCAGTTTTGATTTTTTTACCTTTTAGATTTACTAAATTCCATCTTTTTCATGTATAAGCCACACAAAACATTTTGAATGAATTATTTCCTCCTTGATACATTCATGACAATCCATTCTAAAAAAAAAAAAGTCACATTTTAAGAAGCAAAATTATATGGCATCTTAAGAAGTGAATTCAAATAAAATAAATCCCAATATATTATGCACATTGATTCCAAAAGATTTCAAACATTTTGAATAATATTCCAAATGAAAGATTTGAACGGATGTTTGAAGAAATGCATAACATATCCATCTGAAAACTGAAACTGAAAACACCTGAATAGCTACTTCTTGTTTCACTGACAACTGGACAATACCATGTATAAGGGTTAAAAATTTAAAGATTCATATATTATGTAAAAACAGTTTTCATTTTCATACATGTTAACATGCAGTTAAGAAAATTTCTTACTGATTTAGATTTTTGGGTCAAAATTAAATAAATCATTTATATTGGGGATTTAAAACAATGAAAACGAATAATATGTTCTTCCCTATCAATTTTACAATAGAATAACCCTAGGTGAAGAAAAACTTCAGGAAAAAAGCATGCTGTAAGGTTGAGTTAGGTGAATGAAAAAAAACAGTACAGGTAGCATCAAGGTAGACTCAACTCTAACAATACTAACTGGTCAATTTAAATGTCCCAATTGTATTGTCAATTTTACAATGTGTTTGAACAACACCTAAAGTCAAGTCACAGTAAACTATTTTAAGTTAGATAACTGTGCACATATATGAATAATTCAAATAACCTGGAATATGAGGTCTAACCAAATTTTAAATTTTAAAGCTGTTGATAGAATTTTTCAAAAAATATGTCTTAAAAGGTTTCACTTGAAAAATAAAAAAGGGGAGATAATAAAGATAGGTCAATTAAAATTAATTGATTGATTTTCATCCCCGCCCGCCCCTCTGAAATCGTCCCGTCCCGATTTTTTAATTTTTTTTAAAGATTTACGATTTCCGTATTTTGTTCATTTCCGTTACCGGTAACCGACGATTTCAAAACTTCCTGTGTCAAATTTCAGTTTTCCTTATTCTACTCGAGTAATATAACCAAAATGAGTAAGTCGACATATTCTGCTGCTCAATGATGACAACATTATCTTCTGAGAATATAGATTAATTACTAGAAGGACATGAAATATTCGGGTTACGAGTAATAGGCGGTGTCTAAGAACGCTAATCGCGGTATGTCACAATTTTCAGTGATTAGAAAACCGTAGATTTTTATGCCCCCGCCGTACCGGAGGGGGCATTAAGTTTTACCCTTGTCCGTCTGTACGTACGTACGTACGTACGTCCCGAAATTGGTTTCCGTTCTCTAACTTGAGTTTGCCTCAACCAAATGTAATGAAACTTATACACAATGCTTATTACCACAAAACACAGATCAAGTTTGAATTTTGGTGGCGTCACTTTAACCGATCTAGAGTTATGCCCCTTTATAAAAGGAAATATTGCATAATTTTTAGTTTCCGTTTTCTAACTTAAGTTTGCCTCAACCAAATGTTATGAAACTTATACACAATGCTTATTACCACAAAACACAGATCAAGTTTGAATTTTGGTGGTGTCACTTTAACCGATCTAGAGTTATGCCCCTTTATAAAAGGAAAAATTGCAAAATTTTTATTTTCTTCTAAATATCAAGTTTATATAATATATTTTTAAAATTGGAGTTATCTTCCTTTGACCATGATTATAGTTGAATCAACTACAATCAATGCTTTATACAATGCAATGTTTAATTTTGACTACCACTGATAAAACACAGATCAAGTTGAATTTGGGTAGTGTCACTTTAACCATTATTGAGTTATGCCCCTTTATAAATAGAAAGATTGCAAAATTTTTTAGTTTCCATTCTGTAACTGAAGTTTTCCCCAGCCAAAGATTGTGAAACCTATACACAATATTCATTCCAACAAAACTCAGTAAAGATCAAGTACATTTTTTTTGTTTCAGTTCTCTAACTTGAGTTTGCCTCAACCAAATGTTATGAAACTTATACACAATGCTAATTACTACATAATACAGATTAAGTACGAAATTAGGTGGCAACACTTTTACCATTCTAGAGTTATGTCCCATTATAAACATAAAAATTGCTGAATTTTTTAGTTTGTCTCATCCAAATGTTGTAAAACTTATACACAACCGTTCTAGAGTTATGCATCATTACAAATAGAAAAATTGCTGAATTTTTAGTTTCTGTTCTCTACTTAAGTTAGCCTCAACCAAATGTTATGAGACTTACACACAATGCTTATTACCACAAAACTCAGATCAAGTTCAAATTTGGGTAGTGTCACTTTTACCGTTCTTCAGTTATGTCCCTTTATAACTATATGATATGCAAGCGGGGGCATCATCTGTGTCCACATGTGGACACTATCCACATTTATTTTATTTATACAATGACTTTGTGTCAGGGAATTTGGACTGTGAATAATATCCAAAGCGCAAGAATCGTGGAACACATTGGTACAAAAACCTGACTGGAATAAAGTAATTGACACAAGCACGAACTTGTGCGATTTATGACCGTATATATGGCGTATATATTTTTGAGTACAAAGAGTCGGCCAACATACAAAACGTATTATAGCAAGCCCTTAGATTTTTTTTTTTAAATTCAAATACAATTTATTTCCAATATCCTGTTAAAATTACCTTAGTACCCAAAGTATGCTCTCTGGGCTACTTAGTAGCCCAGGAGAGCATACATAGGGTCCCTGTGTTACATTCTCACTCCTGTCCAGAGAAAACAGGCGAGATAAATGTCGCTTTACTTATAAAATTACATATTGTAGTTTTCTTGTATCAAATTAAAACCAAGTCAAACACACCCAACATAATGCATTAAATTGATCACACCAGATCTATAAACAGTGATACCTGTCTACAACAAGGTAATTGTTTTTAATCAGGTTATATACATTGCTCTATTTTTTTTTTTATAAACAATGGAAATGTAATACATTTTTCACAATAAAATTGTCTAATAACTCTATTATTATTGCAAGTGATGTTTTCAAACTTTATAAGATTTCGAAGTTTCCATATTGTCCATTTGGCTATGCATATTAGAATATTGCCAAATATAATTTCCTTTATAGGCCTGTCATAAATACCTAGGATCATATTTATCTCTTGTAGAATTAATTCATGTGTCAAGTGTACTTTTGTGAATATAGTTTTTAGTTCTAATATTAACTGATTAATGGGTAGACCTTTTTACAATTATAAAAAGATGATTTTGTGTTTCAATGTGATTTTTGCAAAAATGGCAGTTACCTTGAACCAAAGAATGCTGAAATCGATGTAGTCTAGTTTCGGTGTAAATAATGTTATGAATGGACTTCCAATGGAATTCACTAATTTTATTTTTTGTACAGAGATTTCTTAAATTACCCCAAACCATTTTCCAGTCAATACTTACAGCAAACTCAGTTTCCCATTTTAATTGTGCCTTAGGTAAGGTATTTTGAATAAGTATGTGTTTTTTTTTAATTTTTTGGGAGTTATTTTAATACCTGAAAATGTGTACAGATCTAAGTTGTCAAATTTAATTAACAACTTGACCTGCTGGCCCGGTAAAATGTTTATACCCCTTAGTATATCTATGTACATTTTAGGTATAGCATTTTTAATTTTTGAATATTCGGCTATGCAATTTCTTTTATCAATAAGTCGATTATATATAGAATAACAGTTTTGGAAAGTATTCGTTTCAAGATTCCATTTGTTACTAATAGTTGTTATTTTACTCTTGATGAACGATTTAAAATATAGAGATTTTCTTTTAAATTTAATATCATAGTTACAAAAAAGTCGAGTTTTCAGTATTTCTTCCTTCGATTTACCCCCAAGGGCATTCGTTTTTGTTGACAAACAGCAAACACCCTCTGTCCTCAGCCCCTTAATAGAGTCATTAAACAACTTCTTCTTTTTTGGTTCAGTTCATGTTTTAAATTGTAATTATATTTGCACCTTGCATAAGAATCATCAAAGCATCAACCCTAGTATTGTCAACACAGTTTGAGTTTTCATTTCACTCTGTACTCATAATATTTGTGTTGCATACCAATGCATATGCTTTATTTTATGAGCACTACAAATCATAGCTTAAAAGAAAAATGAATTTGATGTAGGTAGTCTAAAAGAGAACATTTCTCCACATTTATTGCTTTTTATTAAAAATGGGCTTCTAAAGCAGCCATTACATGTAGATCAGTGGTTGCCAATCAGAAATATTGATTTAAGAATTTGAAAATAATGTAGAATTCCTCATATATATACATGATATAAGCTTATTATTACCCTAGTATATGAACAACACATCACAAAAGGGTTTAGGAGGAAATGAAAATTTAAAAAATAAAAACCTCCCACCCGCCCCATTTTTTTTCCAAAATCTGGATGAAAATCTAATTAATTTTAGTTGGCCTTACATTGATTGATTGTTGGTTGCTTAACATAACTAAGTTACATATGAATTATGATAGTATGTTGAAAAAAAATTCACAAGTGGAGATAATTCATTTATAAATAATACTAACGACAATTAAGTTAAAGAATTTATTTTTTTTAGGCCAAGAAAGTTGACAAAATCAATTGTTTTGTAGCCACTGGTAACTGGATTTAAACTAATTTAACACTGTATGTAATGGATTTTTTTCTAACATAAATCTGGGAGTCTCGTGCATTGATTCTAGAAATAATAGCAGTTAACTAGAAGTAACAATATAATAAGTAAACACATATCTATTTTAGACAATGTCTGTTTTTTTCTTTATACTGCAACTATAAACTGTTTTAAAGAAGACATCAACAATATTGAATAAGATGTGGAAGACGTAAAAAATTCTGCAAAAACCTTATAGATAAAAATTAGAAAAATAAAACATTATCAATGTCACAAACAAGGCCTTATACAGTCAATGTTTAAACATTAATATGCTCAATGCAATTTGACTGCACAAATTAAACTGTTGCAATATAAATTAAAATAAAGATTTACAGGAATATTTGTGAATATTGTCCAGAGTACATTTTTCTATTGCATAAGCTTACAACTCTTTTATCGTATAGTAAAGCTTGAAAATAAGTGTAGAATATAATTTGTCACTTATTACATGTATAATTTGAAGCTTTATTTGCACTAGTGCATTATAATAGAATATTGCTTGCTAAATTTTTCTTTAGTGGAAAATATTTTGTTGCTCTACAACAATCTTAAATCCTGACAGGGGTCACATATTGGTATCACGTTGTCGTCGTCAGTGTCGTCTGAAGACATTTGGTTTCCGGACAATAACTTTAGTATAAGTAAATATAAATATATGTAATTTGAACACGAGGTTTGAAACCACAAAAGGAAGGTTGGGATTGATTTTGGGGTTATGGTCCCTACGGTTTATGAACTAGGGGTCGAAAAGGGGCCCAAATAAGCATTTTTCTATTTTCCAGAAAACAAGGGTTTCCTGGTTAATGGACAATTACTTTAGCTTTGTTTCTTTATGTTGGTACTTTTTGCTATTTGTTTGCTAGTTCTAGTATGAAATATTTTTTAGCTGTTTCTAGAAACATCAAATACTGTGATTTAAATACATATAATATTATAATAGTGTATATCAAAGGGTTCAGTGGTAATAAATTTTTATACTCAGAATTGGTTATTCTTTGTTTGGGTTTTTTTTTTCATTAGAGTTACCTCCCTTACAATGGTTTTGTTATAAAGAAATGTATTCTCTTGAGGTGATTAGCTGTCAATTTTTTTTTAGCTCACCTGGCCCAAAGGGCCAAGTGAGCTTTACTCATCACTTGGCGTCCGTTGTCTTCGTCCGTTAACTTTTACAAAAATCTTCTCCTCTGAAACTACTGGGCCAAATTTAACCAAACTTGGCCACAATCATCACTAGGGTATCTAGTTTAAAAATGTGTCCGATGACCCCGCCTGCCAACCAAGATGGCCAACATGGCTAAAAATAGAACATAGGGGTAAAATGCAGTTTTCGGCATATATCTCTGAAACTAAAGGATTTAGAGCAAATCTGACATGGGATAAAAATGTACACAGGTTAAGATCTATCTGCCCTGAAATTGTTGTTGTTGTTGGGTTGCTGCCCCTGAATTAGTAATTTTAAGGAAATTTTGCAGTTTTTGGTTATTATCTCGAATATTATTATAGATAGAGAAAAACTGTAAACAGCAATAATGTTCAGCAAAGTAAGATCTACAAATAAGTCAACATGACCAAAATGGTCAATTGACCCCTTAAGGAGTTATTGCCCTTTAAAATTAATTTTTTAACAATTTTTCGTAAATTTTTGTAATCTTTTACAAAAATCTTCTCTACTGAAACTACTCGGCCAAATTTAACCAAACTTGCATGGCCACAATCATCAATAGGGTATCTAGTTTTAAAAATGTGTCCGAAGACCCTGCCCACCAATCAAGATGGCCGACATGGCTAAAATAGTACATAGGGGTAAAATGCAGTTTTTGGCTTATATCTCTGAAACTTAATTTCAAAAAAACTAAATTTGGAGTTTTATTCATTAAAAAAGGGGGGATTTTCCAGTTTTCGGACAATAACTCAAAAACAATTTCACCAATTTGCAAGAAACTTTGGTGAATTGTTTAATGCTATCGACATGAGCTCCCTTTTGATTTTTATAAATTTTAGACTATATGTTTCTGATTTATGGGGTTTTATTCGTTACAAAAAGGGTGATTTTCCAGTTTTCGGACAATAACTCAAAAATGCTTTCAGCATTTTTTATGAAACTTTGGTAAATTGTTTATATCTATTGTTGTAAGCTCCCTTTTGATTTTTATAAATTTTAGATTTTATATTTCCGAGTTACAAGATTTTATTCATAAAAAAGGGGTGATTTTCAAGTTTTTGGACAATATCCTTAAAGTGCTTAGAGCAGTTTTCATTAAACGTTGATGACTGATTTATATCTATTAAGTTAACCTCCCTTTAGTTTTTTTTATAAATTTCTAATATAACATTGAAAAGTTATTGAACTTTATTTGTTTATAGTCTGACAACAGATTTACTAGTATTGCGCAACAGCACAGTATATTGCACAACAGAAAGAAATCTTTAATTGAATATAAATTCAATTCATATAACCAATTTCAAGTTCTTTGACTACATTTATTCAGAAACCTATAATATGTCAAATATTTAATTACAATCCAAATTCAGACCTGTATCAAGCTTGAATATTGTGTCCATTTTTGCCCAAACTGTTCAGGGTTTGACCTCTGCGGGCGTATCCAGCTGCGCTCAGCGAAGCAGTTTATTTGTTATTATCTTGAATATTACTATAGATAGAGATAAACTGTAAACAGCAATAATGTTCAGCAAAGTAAGATCTACACATAAGTCAAATGACCAATATGGGCAATGGCCCCATAAGGAGTTATTGCCCTTTAAAGTCAAATTTAACAATTATTCGTAAATTTTTGTAATCTTTTACAAAAATATTCTCTCCTGAAACAACTTAGAAAAATTTAACCAAACTTGGCCACAATCATCACTAGGGTATCTAGTTTAAAAAATGTGTCCGATGACCCTGCCTGCCAACCAACATGTCAGACATGGATAAAAATAGAACTTAGGGGGAAAATGCAGTTTTTGGCTTATATCTCTGAAACTAAAGCAAATGTATAACGGTTGCATTATATCATGCATCAATTGTAAATAAAAATATCAGGTGAGCAACAAAGGCTCCTTAGAGCCCCTAGTTAGAAGTTACTCTTAAATGCTGATGAAGGAATTTTATTTTTAGATATGACTATTAAATGTTGCTGATGAAGATTTTTTCAATTTTAGCCATGATTATGATGTCATTTTCTATTTTTAATACTTTTATGATGTATTTAAATGGGTTTTTATGGTTGAAAAATCCTAGCCGTCAATTTATTTTTAGAAGTTACTATTAAATGTTGATGAAGGAATTTTATTTGTTAGATATTACTATAAACAAGCATTTTTCTAGTTTTCAGGACAATAACTTGTGTATGAGTATTTTGATTGCTCTGAAATTGTACCACAAGGTTCAATACCACAAGTAGAAGGTTGGGATTCATTTTGGGGGTGATTGCCCAAACCTTTCAGGAATAAGGGGCTAAAATGGTCTAAAACAAGCATTTTTCTAGTTTTCAGACAATAACTTGTGTTTAAGTGTATGGAATTCTCTTAATTTGTACCACATTTTACAAAAATTATGTCTATTTGTTAATCCTTATTCATGCTTTTGTGTTTTGCAGCAAATGATTAATAGCAACAGAATCAAATGAAGAATCTAAAAGTCAAATGCATAGAAAGGAAATGTGAAGATCATAACCACAAGTATGACATAAGGAGAAGCAATCATGCATTTCGAAATTGGTATAAAGGAGAGGTTAACATCAGAGAAGACTTACAGCAGATTCCAACGAGTGTGTAGCTAAAGGTAGAATCTTTGGTTAGCTTCCTTGCTAGCTCAACCATAAAATGATTATTACCTTAAATTGGGAGGAGCAAAGCGCTATTTTATCATCCAATGAAAACATTAATATCAATGGACTGTTCATTATTTATAATATCTTAATGTTTCATACAAAGGTTTACCTAGACTTCTTTGCAATGAAATTTTATTTCATAGTCTTTGATTGAATTAAAACATCTTTTTATTACAATAAATCAGAAGCGGGGTGACGTTTTTTTACGCCGTGAATAGGCAGTTTAGTTAATTAATGTCTTTTGGTGTAATCCCCACGCATAAAACATTGTTATGTATTTTCTTTATATATGCATATTTTTTAGAACTAAAATCTTTTATATTCATACAGAAAAGAAAATTATCATACTACTTAATATTATTAATCGAATATTTTTAAGGATTTGTGATTCGTTAAAACTTGATCACATGTACATTTGTATTTGCTCAGTTTGCACGCCAATACTGTTGTGTTTAGCTTTTCGTAGGTCAAAAACAGCATATTGCACAGGGCATACAGCATGTTACTAAAAATAGATTCTAGAAATCCCCAATTTTACATTGTTCATGCTATAGTTGTTGATTAATAATATAACAATTGTAGCCTTTGGTTGAGGTCAATACGATGTTATATCGACCCAGAGAAGCATATCGACCTCGGACTTCGTCCTCAGTCAATATGCTTCTCTTAGGTCGATATAACCTCGTATTGACCTCATACAAAGGCTATAATTGTATAATATATCATGCACGGTTGTAGTACTTATATTTGGTTAAAAATGCAACGGAAAAAAAACCCCAGCAAACAACTGCAGTTTAGAATTGAAAATATTGCAGAGTTTTTGGACATCCACTTGGTTTGTTAACATTACCTTACTTATTAGTTTTAGATAAATAATGCAGCCATGAAGACCAATTTTTATGTCTCTAATTCAGTTAGATTTAATCTGACCTAGATTGAATGATCAGGTCATATGTACTTTTGAACACCTTCCAATCTTTTTTACCTGTCCGGGTGTATTGTAAACATATGTGTATGTGTAAAAGTGAATACGGTCAGCACTTGTCAGTCATAGCCAACTACATTTTATTAACTTGATGTAACAAATTCAACAGACAGGTAAAATATATTATTATTTGTAATGTCTGACGAAGAAGAAAACATTTTAGGAAAGTCAGCTTTCAGTTAACTTTTCACCATTTATCAAAATAAAATTGGCACATCAAACACACCTACAACATGCTTGTGAATGAGCTTATAATTATCATTAGATTTTAAATTTAGATTGAAAACTTATTTTTAAACTGACTTGTAAAACTAGTTTTACATGTTTATATTCTGTCACTTAATTCTGATTGGTTCTCTGCTTAACTATTGACTCCACCCAAAGGCTGGATGTACCTTACCTAATAATGACTTCATAGTTGATCTAGCAAGGAAGCTTACCAAAGATTCTACCTTTAGCTACACACTCGTTGGAATCGGCTGTAAAGCAAAGTTTACAGGTAGGAGACTTGATTGATTTATTTTTTATCAAGCGTCTTAGATTAAAGAAATGTGAGACAATTATCCAAAAGAGTCCAAAGAATTCAGATTTTAAGCAACTATAGGTAACACTATACAGCTTTCAACATTGAGCCCAAAGGCGGAAAGGGGGGGGGGGGGGTGGTGGTGGTGGTGGCATCCCATATCATATTGTCAGCTATACAGCTGTCCCGCCATTGCTTGTTTTCTGTACTGTGGCAAATTTTGCAAAGTTCTCAGAGACATATATATATGTTTCGGACAATATGAGTATTTGGACTATACGCGTATGGTCATGACCATATGAGTATATACTCGTTTAGTTATTAATGGGCCGGACCATATGAGTATTGACCATATGGGTATTGTTCGAATAAATTCTAACTTCCTTCGCAGAAACACACAGCTCGTTCTACGAACCAAAATCGGCACAAATTGCTAACTGAAATCCTTGATATTGACATATTGTTTGTATTTTGGTGCATATGTCATTCTGTCTTTCACTAGAGTCAATTTAAAGCGCCTGTAATATGTCTACCTTCTCATCTGTAAGTTAAACATCATGACTTTTTTTTTTTTTTTAATTCTTCCAATTTTGACTTATTTTCATTTAAATGTTGTGATTTTGTTCCTATTTATACAATCTCACAGTTACAGTAAGAAATATGTGTCACCCTTTTATTTCTTATTTACCAAATGAAAATAGAGATAACAAGTATCATCTACTGTTATTGTAAGATCATAGTTTAATAGGTCCTGGAGCAAAAACACAATAAATCACTAAAAATAATTTGAAATATTTATGAAATTTGAATTTACTACAAACAGATTTATACACTAAAAATAATAATAAAAAAGGAAGAAGGTTCAATTTCCAAAGTGCTTGTGAGTGACACCTGGAAGGGTCATACTTAATTAAGGTAAAAGTAACTTTTTAACATTCATCGTATTAATTACCTGGGCCATACGCGTAAGGTTGGACCATATGAGTATATACCAATATGGTCATGACCATACACGTATGGTCCAAATACTCATATGGTCCGGAACATATATTTATATATATATATATACAATGGTTTCATAATAAAATTGAGAATGAAAACAGGGAATGTGTCAAAGAGACCACAACCAGACCAAAGAGCAGAAAAAAGCCCAAGGCTAGCAATGGGCAAAATATTTTACATGTTAAAGAATCACCATTTTAATTTCAGGAGTAATTTTATTTTTGCTTATTTTCCATATTTTACCTTGGACTATTAATACCTATTGATTCCATGTTTCACCTGGTACTATTATACCTATTAGTATCTAGGGTCAATAATTTGACCCCACTCCATTTAATTTATTTTACTAAATGAATATTGGCATAGCTTAATTGCAGTCAATATTTTAGTACAGTCTTTGATTATAAAGATTCAAAACTTGAATAATTTTGTCAAAAATACTCGAAGGATTTTTGTTAAGCCTGCAACATTTATGTTGTGAAAGCGAGACCTACTGGTAGCTTAGATGCCCTAGGTGGCGTCAATATTTAGGTTCAGTTTATGGTAAAAGATTTTTTATGCATCAATAACTTTGTCAAACCTTCATGGAATTTTAGGAAATTTAGACAGAAGCTTGTTTATGACCAAATTACAGTATCCAGTGCAAAATTTAGAAAATATTTATTTTCATTTTTCCATATTTTTCGGATTAATGGACTTTTTTTTACAGTAACATTCAGATTTAATATGAGGTTAAAGTTTTTCAGTCTTCAATAACTTTGTCAAAGTTTCATGGAATTTTAGGAAAATTAGACAAAAGCTTAGTTGTATTCAGTATTCAGAGCAAAATTTTGATAATATTTATTTTCATTTTGCCATATTCAAATGATAAATGGATTCAGTTTTTTTTTAACATTTAACAAATAAATACAGTATTAGGTTAAAGTTTGTTACACACCAATTACTTTATCAAACCGTCATAGAATTTTTTTGAAACTTTGGCAGAAGCTTTTTAATGATGAAGAGATAATGTCTGAAGCAAACTTTTGAAAATATATTTTGTTCATTTTCAGTATTTTTCTGATCTATGGACTTCATTTTTAGTTACATTTACAGACCATCTGGGATTAAAACTTTTTTGACATGATAAATTTGTAAACTTTCATGGATATTTATGAATCTTGAACAGAAGCTTATATTCAAGACCATGAATTGCTTCTTAAGAAAAAATTATTTTTTTTATAAAATTCTGTATTTTACTGATAAATGGAATCACTTTTTTAGTCAACGTTACACTTTTACACTGACAGAAGCAATATTGGGTGAGACACACTCACTCACTGGGCTCAAAACATTTCTATTTTGTCAAATTATAGTTTTTATCTGAAATATTTTTAAAACTGACATTCTTTACAAATATTATGTTGGAAATAACCATTACTATGAACAAGTTTTTTTGTAGAATTAAATAAATACATTTGGTTAAAGATGTCCTTCATTTAAAAATTCCACTAAAAATATAACTTGTAAAATTTCCAATTAAATTAATTATGCCCTGAAAGACATTTTGTTTAATATATAAAGACATAAGATTATATTTCATATGATTTAGAAATGATATTGACTCCATGTTACTAAAAATAGTAACATGGAGTCAATATCATTTTCAAACTTACACTATTTACATATGTAATATATAGATTAAGGACTTCACTCAGTCAATACGTTATTGGCGCGTTACATTTGCACGAAAAAAAAATCCACGTTTGCGCAAAATTTACCTATTGCAAAAGCACAACGTTTGTGGGGATTAATTAAAAAAAATATGAAAAATTAATCCTTGATTTTTTAAAAACAAATTGTAATTTTCTAAATGAAACAAATTTACAATGGAGATTACATATATCGTCAGGTTATCAGAATTCCTATGGGGACTAACTGTGCACCTCTGATTGCGGACCCTTTTCTGTATTGTTACAAGTTACAATTTATGACTAAAATCAGCAAAGACCAATCGAAACAATATCTGATATAAAATATTTGGATGATATATTGGCTCTCAAAAATGACGATTTCATTAAGTACACTAAATCCTGCTGAACTGACTTTAAATAAAGCTAATAACAATGAACAATGTACTTTCCTGGATCTTGATATCTATAACTTTAACAGGAAGCTTAGTACTAAGATTTAGGATAAAAGAGAGATGATTTTAAGTTTCCTATTGTTTATTATCCATTTTTAGATGGTGACGTTCCATTGGCACCATCTTATGGTGTTTATATATCCCAACTTGTTCGATTTGCTCGTGTATGTAACAATGAATTTGATTTTAACTAAAGAAATCTCAGTGTTTCGAAAAATACCAAATTTAGGCTTAGCTAATGAGGACAAATATTAGTCAACTGAAATAGGAAAATAGTTAACACAGATTTTTGGATTGCCTTGATTTCTTCCGGCAGAGGAAGTTGAGGACAGTTTATCATACGATATAGTGTCAGATGCTCCTGTAAATAAAAACTGCAACAAATTTGCTAACTACTTCTTAGTACAAAATGAGTCTTTTGTAGATGAAACGCGCGTCTTGCGTAGATACAAAATTTAATCCTGGTATCTATGATGAGTTTATTTACATAACCAGTGAGTCGAAATTTCCACCAGCAATGTTCCTTTCCATGATATTAACTGTAATTTATTTAAAAAAAAATCTTTTACATAAATGTAGTACTTTTTATACGACCGCAAAAATTTTGCAGTCGTATATTGGTATCACGTCGTCGTCGTCCGAAGAACTTTGGTTTCCAGACAATTATAGTTGGGGGTTATAGTCCTAACAGTTTAGGATTTAGGGGCCAAAAAGGGGCCCAAATAAGCATTTTTATGCCCCCCGCCTTAGCGGTGGAGGCATTAAGTTTTACCCAAAATTGGTTTCCGTTCTCTAACTTGAGTTTGCTTCAACCAAATGTTATGAAACTTAAACACAAAACTTATTACCACAAAACACAGATCAAGTTTGAAATTTGGTGGCGTCACTTTAACCGTTCTAGAGTAATGCCACTTTATAAATGGAAAAATTTTTATTTTCTTCTAAATATCAAGTAATTTTTATACGCCCGTTTACGGGACGTATTATTAAAATTGGAGTTATCTTCCTTTGTCCATGATTATAATTGAATCAACTACAATCAACTCTTTATACAATGCAATGTTTAATTTTGACTTCCACTGTTAAAACACAGATCAAGTTGAATTTGGGTAGTGTCACTTTTACCATTCTAGAGTTATGCCCCTTTATACACCAAAGATTGCAAAATTTTTAGTTTCCATTCTGTAACTTAAGTTTGCCCCAACCAAACATTATGAAACCTATACACACTATTCATTACCACAAAACTAAGATCAAGTTCAAAATTGGGTAGCGTCACTTTAACCGTTCTTCATTTATGTCCCTTTATAACTATATGATATGCAAGAGGGGGCATCATCTGTGTCCACATGTGGACACTATCCACATTTATTCTAGTTTCCAGACAATAACTTGTTGAACGGTGTATGGATCACTCTGAAATTATACCACAAGTTTCCATACCACAAAGGGATGGTTAGGATTGGCTTTGGGGGGTTATGGCTCAAACCGTTTAGGAATTAGGGGCAAAAAAGGGGGAAAACAAGGGTTTCCTTGTTAATGGACAATTTAAAAGCAGTGTAAGGGAGGTAATCCAAACACATTTAAAGTACAATGTTGTGAAGGCCTCAGACCACAATTATTCTTCCCATTGGTTACAATGCGTTTTTTGGTAAAAGTCAAATTGAATTAAAAAATATGCACCGCATCAAACATGAAATAAATTTAACTGCTTATAGACCATTATTATTGGAATAAAATATGCTTGTCCCAGGACAATCCATCAGTGCTTTTTCTTTTGAGAGCCCTATTAACATGCCAACAGTAGGATTTGAAACTTGAATAAATGACGAAGACTAATTTCTACCCT